TATTCAATACGAATGAATAAAAATATAAATACAGTAGAGCGTCGTTTATCCGAATCAATTGGGGATTGAGGTTGTTCGGATAACTTATTTTTCGGATAACCGATTATGTACGAAAAAATATATTAACCTATCCCGTGTTGAAATTTTTCTCCGCTGCGTGTCGCTTCGCGTTGAATTTTCGTCGATGTTAAGCCTAACGTAAACTTTTTAAAATAATAATCGTGGCTATTGTATCGTTAAAAATTATTTTTTTTAATTTTTACAAACAAAATAAATATATTGAAAAATACAAAAAGAAACAAATTATACTTTAGAAGCTAATCTAGTATCAAAAACGTTCGATTCGGCACCACATACAGTCCTCAGAAAAACACTACACAAAAGTGCCAGCGCTGCCAGCTAAAACACACACATCAACCAAAAAAATATTGGAGTAGCCCAAGACATAGCCAAAGATTGCAACGCCACAGCACTAGCGAATATTTAAATTTGCTGACTGGAATTTTTTCGGATAACTGACGTTTCGGATAACCGACTCTCTACCGTAGTGAGAAATGATTCAGAAAATAAACTACAGCTGACTACATTTATAAACACCGTATAAATTAAATGTACTGTACAAAACGCTACAACTTTGTCAGGCACGGACTTATAATTAAGTCCGTCCCTGACCAAGAGCGACAGTGAACCAGATGAAGAAGCGAAATAAACGTCATCCATACCGGAATCAGAACTGTCAGCCATTTTGTTTTTTGGATAACTTGGAGAGTATCAATTAACCGCCCAAAATGCCACAGATTTCCAACTCGAGCAAGGCGTGGAGAGTAATTACGTATTACGTAAACCACCTTAAGCCCATATCCCGAGATATCTCGGGCAAGTTACATAGCGTTACGAAAACCGCGGGCGTTTGGGCCCCCCCAAATTTTTTTAAATTTTTGGAATGTTTTTTAGGTTACCAAATTTTTTCAAAATTTTTTGACTGCGCGAAAAAATTTTATCGCGATTTTAAAAAACCTTTAATGACGCGCGCTTCACGCTTTATTGTTTTTTAATTGTTTTTTAATGGGAGTTTGATATCAAATTTCATTCATCGTTCTAAAGTAGTGCACCAATTTTCCTTCGGTAAAGTTATTTAAAGCTACTTTCTGATGTCAAAAACGACCTCCAATAGTTTTTTAATTTTTTAATTAATAGATTTTATTATATATAAGTTTAATTAAGCCGGGGGGTCGGAAATCGCAATTTATTTCATTGACACTTTAGTGACATAATCTATGTAGTTGAACTGTCCATATTCACAGGGGCGTAGCGTGGGTGCCACCCGCCTGGGGCGGAGGAAAATTTCGCCGCCCCCTTATTCAGGTATCTGAATTTAAAA